AAATATTTGAACAAATTACTTTTCAGAGGCATATTTATAAATGCAAAATATTTCCAAACATATTCAAAATAGACCTCAACAATTAAAAAAATATGAAATGTACCAACAAAAAAAATACCTTTTAGAAATAAAGCAGTATATATCAGCCAGGAAAAAACGGTAGTTGAATAGTAAAAGCAATATCTTCGAACAGGAAGAAAATTTTATGTATACCAAATTGCAACAATCAAAATAATAAGGTATGGTAAATGATATAATCAAATGATTATGGGTACAACCTAGAAAAACTTACTGTTTGATTTATTCGCAAATAATTTTTTTTTCCTTAAATGTTTGGGTGATGGGACTATTTTTCCAACCTGAATGAGAAGAAAGTCTTTAAAATGAGGGCTTGATCATTGGATTTGATGGAAAATTAAAAAGTTATGGTGTTGCGACAAAAAAAAAAAAATACCTATTAGAAATAATATATAAAGATTACGAAAAAAGCGGAACATAGCACAATGTAGGAAGATAAGTTCAACATTTCTTTTCCTAAAGTACCTTTAATTTGGTTTATTTTAAATAATTAATCATCTATCATTATAAGGCGTTACGAAAAAAAATGCTAAATATAACTTTTGAAAGAATTTGATAATTGGAAAATGAGGAAAAAAGGGAAAATGTTTATTTAAGTCCAAAATGAATTTAGGGAAATACAAGTCAGGTATACGTATAAATATATCGTTGGAAAACGGAGAATTTTAGAAAAAAACAATATCTAATATAGAAAGTGGTAGGAAGTAATTATAATTACTTGAAGTGACGAACAAATTATAATTAATAATTTGTGAAAACTAATATTATTTAACAGATATCACACGTTTTCAATTAAATTAAATGAAATTTAAGTGTAAACTTTTTTAGATTTGAAAAAAAAAGTATATAAAATCCACCAAATCAAGGTAATGACGTTGCTTAAAACTATTTCATAGTACTTATGTGAAGAGAGATATAAAAATATTTTATGGATGTATAAAGCATATGTTTATAACCTTAATACATTTACTGTAGTTTAATAATTCTAGATCTAATATTTTATTTAAATAATTAGGTATCAACGTCAGTTTATTCCGAATTATCGTCATGTAACCTTTTAAAAAACTAAATTAGTATATAATTTGATGAATTTTTCCTTTATGAAATCCAAATATTATCCGCTTAAAATTAGTGTAAAGAACTTTGCCCTGTTTATGGCAGGTAATGGATAATCTCGTAATTTCGTTGTAGTAAACTTTACAGTGGAAAATAACAGTTTAATAACTAATAGGCGTACAATCCATAATCATTTATTGGTTGGATATAGAGATATACTTTCAAATCTCTCTAGGCATATATATATTGCTCAATGACTGGAGTTATTTGTTTTACAAAATCAGATGGAGTTCCGAGGTTTTGATTGCCTAACTTTGATATAATTGATAGGATTTTAGTTATTTTAATGGTGTTAATGGTTTGGTAGCTGTATATTTTAAGCAATAGCGATAGTACTCCATGTAATTACATTTGTTGATATTTTGGCACAAAGAAAACACCGAGCTCTGTAATAGAATTAATATCCCATTAGAATATACTAGTAATAATATAATTCCCCTTATTTGTACTAAATTAGAAACTAATTTTAAAGGCGATATGAGGGAAAAAGCTACATGTTTTGATTTCCTGACCTGTACAAGGATTTGGGTGAAAAGCATTTCATATCAGATGTAAATAAAATGCATTTTATTAAAGATATATTTAAATTGCGCGGGCAATTACTGTTTCTAAACAATAGTGTTATGAGGAGTGAGCAACAAAGATTGTGTAGCCTTAGTAATTTCAATGAAGTAGACGATGTATTTCTACGTCGCTACTAGTCCGATTTTATTGGAACATAGAATCCAATATTTTAAGAAAAAAATCATAAACCGCAATGGACTTATAGAGATACTCAATGGCAAAGATGGAAGCAATTTACATATGTATCATGTATATACTAATAAATATAGAATATTTTTAACTCAGCAAAACAACTCATAAAATTCTTTAGTTATATGTAAAGAAAAACAAAAGCAAGTATAAGATTAAGGTTATGCTACAAAAAATATTTATTTCTCAATTTTTGAAAAAGTTTATTTAGATAATATGTATCAGGTAGTTTTGAGTTGGTTTAAATCAGAAAAGACTGTTTAATGTTTCCAAAGTTTATTATTTTTATTATTATTAATTATTTTCAATGTATGTATTTTAGGGCACCTGCAGGCAAATGGTTCTATACCATTGCCAATAAAAAAAAGTTTTGTTAAAAAAAAAAAAGAAATATGTAAAATTTATATTAAATGAAGCTTTCTTCCTATCGAACTTAATCGAATGCTGAAATACGTTTGGTGGTAGGAGTAGAGCGAAAAACCTTATTGTCTTCTCATGCCTGTCTAAAGATTATTGGGATTTATTTTTTCAGAATATCTTACATTAATTTTTATAAAGTGCTTTGTTCCCCCTTAAATTTTTGATTTATGAGTATTTATATGCCCCGGAGGTAAATAATACCATGTCCATTTTCTTATTAGGTAATTTAGTAAGAAGCAAATTTTAAAAGCACAAATTTATCGAAAATTGGCTCCTTGAAAAGAATATAAGAATGTGACACAGTGTCATTTACCTCTGGAGTATAGATTTAGTAACTAAGAAACAAATATGTATATATATATATATTTTTTAAACTATTTATTCAAGATATTTACAACTGTATTACAATATAAATACATCAAGTGAAAGTTTAAACAAGGATATAATCACTTGAAAACGATTGTTGAGAAACTACCCCCAGGTAGCACTCTAATAATATGTCTACATAAGGAGATCACGAGGCCATCTTCTTTTCAGACGCCTCGGGGAGTTATCAAGAATCGAAGAGGGAGCAAGGTTAGAAACGAGAGGATTCGGATGGTTATGAAGTTCATTATGGAAGGATACGTATCTGGATTGGGTCAAATCGGGGACATATGGAACATTAAGGTCATTATGGATTATTTTATTTGTGACAAAGTAAGGAGCATTGAGGATTTTACAAAGGATTTTGGATTGTAAGGATTGGATACGAGAGGAATTTGATGGTTTAGTGGAGCCCATAGCTCAACTCCGTAAGTCCAAATAGGTCTTATTATAGTCATGTATATTAGACTCTTGTAATTAATAGAAAGTTTAGAGCGTTTGTCTAGTAAGTGTTGGAGTAAGCGGAAACGTCGAGCAGTTTCTTGTCGAGAACCAAATATTAATAGTTGAAAACTATGGAAAATTAGATCTACTGAACAAATACCAAAATGTTCATTACCTCTGGATTACAGATTTATCAACATGAAAGATGTAAATTCGATAATAAATGGACTAATAATGCAAATATTCCAAACAATGTTTTTGTTTTCATAAATATTCTTGGTTTTTATTTATTGGTATGTATTGGTTTGTAGTTAAGTATTTATCGTGGGAATTCAGTAAACATTTATTTATTCTAAAATTGTAAGACATTTGTGGTTCATCTTTTTAATTAACACGCCATATATTTTAACGTGGTAACCATCAATAAATTATTCAATGCCTCAGTGGAGTGTAATTCATATCTGAAATTCACTTAGGACGTGTATTTTTGTGGTAAATCATTTATTATAACTAAACGTTTATCGTTTTGCCCCGTCTGCCTGCCGTGTAACGCTGATAGACCGAAACCTAATCGATTACTTGAAAAAGGTTCGGGACCCAATTCGAGTAATTTCTGAAATTTCAGACTCTTACTCGAACTATCCCTGCTTTACTAGTTTTTGTAAGTACATTCCATCGCATGCATCTGCTTACTCAAACAATATACAAACATTATTTAGATAACGAGTTACGTGGTTCACAAATCACTTCGGTCGCACTTGTTCATGAAACGCCGAAAGCAGTCTTTTGGAATCGGTTGCAATCCGCATGAACAAGTGTGACCGAAATGATTGTGAACCACGCGTAACTCGTGCGGTCCTCATCTAAATAATTACCTTTATATGTCCTATGAAGTGGGATTAGTGGAGTGGGGTAGCTCAGTGGTAGGGCATTGAACTTACAATACTAAACTCCCTGGTTCGAATTCCGACTCATGGCAGAAATATTATTTATTCTATTTCATTGGCCGTGTGGCGATCATGTGTAGCTAGACCCTGCTGGGGCACACCAAGCCTCTGTGAAGAGGTTACCCTAATTAAAATAATTAATAAGGAGAAAACCTGGTGGTTGAGCGTGATCTCGGTCAAATCAACTCCTCACACAACCGCAGACCAAGAAACAGTGCTCTCCCTAAATAGTACTGAACCCAAGACCCTTTATGGGTTATAGTAGTACATGTTTTTTTGTTTGTTTTATAAGTCCTACGATTGTGACATTAAATTATATAGCAAAATGGATTTTATATTAAGCGGGGGTACTCATCTATGTAATGTAACAAGGAAAATATTTTCTGAACACAAAAAATAAACTTTCTTAGAAGAAAACTGGAAATCTTTAAAAAATATTGCAAAACATTTCTTGATGTGTACACTTTTTCCTCAATTGTCCCCAAATTGACGAATAGGCCTTTGACAGTCTCGCTTTCAGCGACTTATTAGTTCAAAATAGTGGAAAGAGGTTATTAACAATTAATTCATAAATTTACAAATATTAATGTTACATTGTAAGATTTTCTGAGCTGTTAACCTTCCATTTGTTTTGTGAAACTGCGAACCTCTATAAATTTAGTCTTAGATAAATATTTTTGATCAAACATATCTTTGGCACAAATGCAATTATATAATATAAAAGTAGTAAAAAATATTAACCACTGCTCCAACACAAAAATGAATCTTGATGACAGATGGTGTTTACAGCGACTGCAATCATGTGTTATAGGTACATACCAAATCCGGTATGTAACGAAAAATGGATTTTAATATTTTAAACTGAAGAAAAATGTGAAAAGGCTTAAGCACTTTAAAACCCTCGTATAACTGCAGTGGCTAATTGGAATGGTCGGATGTAAATGTGTTCAACTCGAAAATCCTAATGATGAGTAGTGAAGGTATTTTTATTTTGTTCTTTTTGATATGTATTTTTCTTTGAATATATAATTGTATAAGAAATTTAGTTTGTTACTATGAACTATTATCTTTAAATGTCGTGTAACTACACTTTTTTTTAAAACCAAAATTAGATTTCTTTGACGTTCTGGTCATTTTTTTATTACTATATCCCACTGAAAAAACTAACACTAGATGACTATTTTTCTCCCTAATGAATTTGACGTATAAGCAATGTAAGTGAAACATGTTTGTTGTTTTTGTAGGCAACATAATATTATTAGGATATCCTATTCGACACACTCAATTGGTAAAACTTCATGGGCTATCACAACTGTTAAAGTAAAAATTTAGCTAGTAAGTAATTAGCTTGTCATACTGGATAATATCTCTCCAGTTTAATTGTTTAGCAAAAAGGTAAGGCCATCCCTGGACATTTAATATTCACTATTGTACTCGTTAGACTTATTTGCTTCGTGCAGAAAAGCTGTAGTTAGTAGTTTTCTCAATTACTGAGGGTATAAAAGTCTATTACTAGAATTTAGGAGCCATACCTGTATGTTTTTAATTAAAAATACCACAATATAAGACTTCACTAAAACTATTCTCTTTCATTTATGTAATAGAGTTTTAGTTCGTCAAACACCAATAAATAGCGATACTTCTATTTTTAAAAACCTAAACATCTGATGATAACTATTCTATGGAAACCATAGTATTTAACAGGCCTTTGCTTAGAATTAGGCTTTATTTCGAAATCGGAGTATTTTGCGAAAGTAACTGTACAAAGGATTTGATGTTTATATAGAAATAATTAAGCGAAATTTATCTCATCTCGATTCGTCGACTTTTGAAACCAAGTGAGTTTTGAAACCTCCTATTTTTTTCAATGAATTGTAATGTAGGTTAAAATTAAATGTTCCAGTAGTAGACACTGTACTAGTAATTTTCTTAAATTGAGGCTTGATGTTAAAGGATTGAAATTTAAGTTCAATAATAAAGACGTTCTTTTCCTGTATAATTTTTTTTTATTTCTGCGCAATCGGTTTCGGTCTTTGATCTGGCCTTTACCTGGCTAGCTAATATTAAAAAAAATTAGCAACAACAATACAACTTTTTACTAAACAATCTAATAATAATAATAGAAATTAATCAAAGATTTAACAATTATAAGCCCAATTTTAATAAATTATTAAATAAGAACTGGTAAGCAGCTAACCTATGATGGTCCTTCTACTCTGCTTATCAAATGAGATCTAAAAATAAAACCGTTGACAAGATAGGCTATTCCTACCCCCCACGTCTTGTTCTCATGAGCTGCTGCCACTAATTTTATGAAGGAAGAATTCTCTAATCGAGTACTTTGTTCATTCAGGCATATCTCAGTATGTCATTTTATATATATATTTTTTCTTTTTCCTTTGTAACTTTTCAAAAAAGTCCATTATTTTTCTTTTTGAAATCATATGCAAAAGCTTTACCGTATTATTATTTTTTTTTTTTTTGGTGTGAACAATTATATTATAATTGTTAATAAATAATTTATTCTCTGCACGATTTTTCTATAGACCGTCCAGCTGCTTCTTTGTTTCGTCTAGTGACCACACTACCATGTGAATTTTTCTGTCTCATCTTCGCAGCCCACCTTGGAGGGCATAATTTTCTGTGGAATGAGTTCCTGCTTTGTGCTGATTACAAGTGGTGGAACGCGAAAAACTTAAACGTTGTTGGACGCGCAGAAGGACCTAGGTTCGGTTACGCTTTATTAAATAAATTAGGACTGGGAGACGTCACGATAATCTTCAATTAGTTTTGAAACTTTCTCGTTACATTAAAAGTTTTCAAAAGAACTGTAAAGCTATGGAAAATAACTTTAAACACTTGAACTAATCACTCGACAGCTGAAGACAGACTGAGACGTGTCTCGCCTCTAGATTGAGGTCCACACTGTCAAAATGCTGCGCAACATGTCTAACGTTGCATAATGTCGGGAGACTTTAAACCTGCGATTTTTGGTCTCTCAACATGCCAACAGGACGGGGATCGGTCTATAGACATGTTTATGTAGACAAACTGAGGCATCTTTCACAGACCAAAATTGGTCAGCATTTCTACTATTGTGGACTGACTAGGCTTGATAAGTGGCATTCGTCACTTCTTCATGAAATATACTTCATCCATCAACATCCTCCATATTATTTTTGTGAATAAAGATATAGAAGATTGTTTAGCAACCTATGTGTATTCAATGCTCAATACTCCGATTTTAATTTCTTCCTTGTGCAACGTTTATGAGTTTAATCAATTTTGTAGTTTATCGTTCTTGCATTAAACTAGAGAACTTATGTTTTCATTGCTTGAATGTGGTAATGAACAGTTTATATCTGACTTAATTTGTTCCAACATCCATTATTTTAGTTTGGATGTAGTGTTCCGGAATAATAATATTAATTATGAAATCCTGCATTCGCGTGTCATATTCACGTCACTTGCGATACATGAATCGAAGAAAAAAAAATTGTTCTTTCTTTGTCTATTCCGGCTTAGTGTTCCATTTTTTTTTCTTTTTCTTGTATTTCTTTTAACGCCTTAACAAGCCTTCATCTGCCTCCCTTGGGCTATTTCATTACATCTATCCATCTGTTTTTGGCCTTCCACGTGGTCGTTTGCATTGTATTGAGTCATTGATTGATATCTAGAGACTTCCAGATGGATCGCTACGAGCTTCATGCCCCGCCAATCTTAATCTCCTTGGTTTCATATCATGGTTTGATCAGTTTCTGTAAGCAGTTCTTTATTGATCTTTCTTTTCCATGTGTTAATACAAGGGTGCTAGTGTTCAGGCCTCACAGCCATATATTAGAACTGGCTTTATCATAGCATTGTACACTCTTAATTTTAGATTTTTCGATATTTCAATAACTTTGAGAGGGACAAGCAAGCTGTGTATGCTCTAGTCACACGCTGTCTATTTTTGCTAGTTGGTCATTCGTATGGGGTATTGTGGAGCCAAAATATTTGAATTTTTCTACTCTCGGAAATGATTTTCCTTCTACGCAGATCCTGTTATTGGAGTGGATTTTTGTTTTGTCATTTACTTGTAAGCCAATCTGCTCTGCTTCTCTTATCAGATTGTAGCCAGTTTCTCGAATGTCCTCTTTATTGCTTCCAAGGACAGCTATATCATCTGCGTATCCAAGGATTTTATGATTCATTCTGACTTGGAGCACTCCATTTTCCTGTGATGTTGCTTCTTCTCCAGGGCTAAGTTGAACAACTGCCTCACTGCCTCTAGCCCGTTCGAACTTTGAAGGCTACAGATACTTCTCCTTGAATTAGGACTCATTTAAGGTTAACATTTAAAGTCATTTGTACCCGCCTTTGTCTGTCTCACTAACTTACCGGGAAATTTGAAATACAGGGTTAAGTCAGGATTTTCTAAAGAGAGCTCCTGTTCACAGAATCATAGGATGCTTTCAAAATCGACAATTAGGGCGTGGACGTCCTGAGATATTTCCCATCATTTTTCGAGTACTTGTTTTAGGATGAAGATCTGGTCTAGCGTGGTCGCCTGTTACATTCTCGTAATACTTAATGTTCCATTATGTATAGAAAATTAGGTAGAACTGGTTACCCTAGAAGTAAGAAGGTCGATCTCAATCTTGTCAGACTGGATTACAACCAAGATTTCTGAGCTCGGCCATCGTATGATTGCTGTCTGCTGTAGAATGCACTTAGCTATTGTATTATTTCTTACATATTATTTATTATTTAACAACTTACCGTTTGTTTTATGTTTTAAAAAATCAGCATTGAGAAGCAAAGGCTATCTAAGTGATATTTGAGTTCTATGTTACTACGGTCAAATGAATGATTTATTTTTCCTCAGGTGACAAGAAGACTCCAAGCGGGTGGAGAGTGAAGGTAAGAAATGTCATCAAAGTTGTCAGCAACAATAGAAAGCCATTCAAGATCAGACCTGAGGTACATAGATAAGAAATACTTGTTATACTTTATTGAGAAGTGACAAGGTTATTAGCTGTTATCTCAAAACGCACTGCTTTCGCGTAGTAATACATGATCCCTGAATTTACTTTTATCCTCAAGCACATTTGACATTCTAATAGTCATGTTGCTTCTCTATCGTATTTTTCCTGCTAGCGGTCTATTGTTTTCAGGCGCATTCTATAAAAAGCCCCAAATTTCACATTTCCAATTGGACTTCTTCTGAATCTGATAACGAAAAGTCCGATACTGGTAAGGCGATATACTGATATTTCTCCATATACTTTCTATATCCATTGTTTATTTTTTAAAAAAAAATATTAACTTTTTCACTTTAACAAAAATCTTTTTTTTTTTCAATTCGTTGCAAATACGTATAATTCACTTACGGGTGTTGACGTTTCAAATATCGATTAAGGTATTTATTTCCAGTTCAAGAATCAGTAATGTTGAAAACATTTTCAACTTGTATCGCTTGATAATTTTTCAATGTAAAATTATTTTGATTCTAGTCTGTTGTCCATGAAAAATAACACAGCATATTCATATTGAATACAAATATAATTTAATTCTTCCCATATAAAATGAAATGATAAATCCAATATTGATATTCAGATTGATTTTGAATCATTATTACTCTCTAAGTGTTTCTACTTTCCTATCTGTACTTTTTTAAAATTTATTTATTTAGAAATATAACAATCTGTCACCTGGACAATAATTATAGTGACATATAAACACATTCATACCTGAACACATTCATACTATCTACCTGTACTAGGTAAGGAAAGTATTGTGATCGGATCAAATTTTCGATGATCGGTTTTCAACTGATCTATACGTTTCAGAGCTCCTAAGACCGAAAAACAAATTGTTAGCTATTGGTCTGTCTGCCTGTGCCAAGATTATCTCGGGAACTAGTGGACAGATTTCGTTACTTTTTGTTTCGTTGTGTAGGGTTTTGACCACCGATGACTGTGACAGTAATTGGCTGCTCCTTGTTCAATAAAAGAAAAACATGTTTTTGTATATACTGTAGCTCAATTACGGTCCTAACAATTTTTATGAAACTTTTGATTAACTATAGATTTAAATTTAAAAAGCATCGAGGAGGAGCAAAGTTCATTAGAAAATTTCATTTGAATTTTGTTGTGCTGCCTACATCTATTACAGTTTATGGCGATAAAGGTTTTTCGGGCTCCTTTTTAATAGGAAAGGTAATACCGCGTTCAAAAAATCATCCTCGGGTTTGCTTTGACATTGATTCCAAATCTCAAAACAATCGGTCCAGTAGTCTTGGAGAAAAGAAGCGAACGGACGGATTTATTTTATCTGATTTTTGGATTCTACACATCATTAAACGTAAAACATCAAATTTTGAGGGGAGGTTAAGTTTTTTCTCTCGGTCAATTACTAAAATTGAGTTTTGAAAATAATAAACTAAGCTGAGTTAAAGTGTATTGCATTTTTAAAGCTTGTTTCAATGATCGTTCACATTGTTTTAGTTTTTCAGGAAAATTCTGTAATTTAATTGTTTTAATGGCTTATTTAAAATCGTATAAATATGTCTAAATTCGTTTGGAAAATCGTTGGAGTGGACACTCCAGATTAGTTGTATTTGATATTGAATATTTTACAAAATAAACTTCCAAGAATATTTTACAAAAAAAACTTCCAAACCGAATTTCAGAAGAAAATCCATCGAAATAGTAAAATAAAGTGTACGACAATTTCGGAAAGCGTGTAATTATTTAATTGAGTAATTAAATTATAGAGAATTCTAAAAAGGAATTCTTTTTTAAAATCATTAACATCCGTTTAGAACTTCGGCTTCATCTTACGTTAATAAAAAATTGTTTTCAGGAAAATGTTCGGAAATGGGACATTTTCAATCTGGAAATTTGTAAAAATTATCTATTCAAGTAAGCGCATGAACACTTATTTGATTTCCACTTGAATCGTAACATAATTTGAACACAAAATCGGAAAAAATAGTTTTTATACAAATATTAGTCCGTTTGGTGTCAGCTCCGCCCCCAACATGTTGAAAAACCGAGCTTATATAGGCCAAACGATCCAATATCTTTGTAGGCCACTTTTTTTCTCGATGATAAAATTATCTAATGGTTCAATTGGAAACCATGTGTGTATTCATAACTTCTTATTACTTCATTAAATTAATTAATTATATGAGAAAACATACAATTTATGAGCATTTTCGTTGCTAAAAAGTAGCAAGTTACGATTTGACGAAGCCATTTACGGGATTTTAGACGGCTGTTATTAATTTAAAAGGGTTACTGTGGACTGTACTTGTAATGTACTTGTGGATAGGGGAATTGAGTATTTTTTTTTTTTTTTTTTTTTTTTTGTACCCAATTATATTTCTGAAGTTATAAATATGAAGTAATTATTCATTTCTTTTGGTTTTTTATAGTACACTTAAAATTCATAGGCGGATCATTGATTTGTTGTTTTGATTTTTTACTTTCACTTACCTATATATGAAATATATAGCAAAGGAATGTATTGCGGTCGTGACAATTTTTGAATCTTAGTTTTCAACTAAATACACATTTTGAGGTCCCCTGAGTCCAAATAACCAAGTCCCTCAAAATGGTCTGTGTGTGTGTGCGTGCTAACAGTCTAGCTCAAAAACGAAAAGTCGTACAAAAGTGAAATTGCATATTTAAGGTTTTTATATGCTAGGGATGTTACAGTAACTTTTCGTCAAAATTGACTGACTGAAAGTGTCACTTTATATCATGGGCTAAACACATTTTTACAATTTTCCCGGAAACGGCTCTAACGATTTTGATTAAGTTCATTATATCAATGTTAAATTAAGCAGTTTTAAAAAAAATGTAGTTTTTATTCTGATTGATGTTCTCTAACAGGGCTTGAATGGCTAATTTTCAATATTACCTTCCTCTAAAGTACCTTTAATTTTTTTATTTTAAACAATTGACTATTTCACATTAATCTCTAATATTAAAGATATGTAAATATAAAATATGAAAGAATTTGATAATTAACTAAAGGAGAAATAGAAAATCGTATCGGAGAATAGTTGTAATTGACCGCACCCGAGCTCGCACGAAAGATTATAACAGGCTCTCCCATACGTAACATGAGCTTAATATAATACGGACTTCGACAATATTATATAAATATAAATATGGGGTTTTCATAAATGCTATAGTTGGTGTTATTTAATATTTAATTGTATAGATTACAACGATATAAATATTAAAATTTGTGTATTTTAGCGTACTTATACAAATAAAAATACCCACAATGAAATATAAATAATTATAGCTATTTCCGTTTTTGTATCGCTGATTATAAACTCATTCCATGTTTATATTTATTAAAACGATAATGTCTTCGCAAATAGATTCAATAGTTGAAGTATTTCAATCACCTACCAATGGATACAGAAAGTCAGAATGTCTTTTACCTCAGTTGAGCGATAGAGTCTAATTGTTTCTAATGACCAGGTGAGGTGATGATGTTGGAAGTTGCTGAAACGAAATTTGGTATCAAGCCGCTTAGGAAGAAATTCAGGGATCAGAAGTTACTAATTTATACCCTTCCAAATGAAAATAACTCTCTTTGTAAGGTAGGATGGATTTGTATTTTTCTGTGAAAAATCCAAAATCTTTATAATTTTTTTTTTCGTTTTGCCACTTTCTTTAGTAAGTTTTTCATTTCTAAAGTGTATTATAATTTTCTTGCCATTTTACTTAGTTTGTACATTATTTATCTATTAGATCATACTCATTTATTTATTTTTTATTGGTTGATAGGATAACGAATTATTGATTTCCTTGTCGTAAACAAGATTTTAGATATAGATTTTCAATATTCATTTCTAAAATGAAGAACATTTAAGTGAAGAGAAGGATAGTTGGGGTGATCAGTCAAAATAAAATAGTAAGAGTAAATAATTGTATTTATTTTTACATAATAATGTAAAATTTTATATTATTTTATTTTGACTGATCACCCTAACCATCCTTCTTTTCAATTATTTACAACAGTTAACCATCAACCCACAAAGAAGAACATTTAATTTTTCTGACAGAAAATAATATGGAATACTTTCAATAATAATATTTTTTAATTTAATTTTTTATTCATGTTCACCAGTCACAAGCTTGTCAATAAGCACATATGTTGTTATTGTTGGCAAACTTGAAATTTTGGGCATAAGGAAAAATTGTACCCTGCAGCACCTCTTCGTGGTTTTGGTTTACTTCAGAAAGGATATCTCTCACCCAGCTCCTCCTCTTCAGTCACCTCCTTCAGTCAGCTCTGGCCATTTCTTTCTTTAGTCCGTTGTGATGTCGGTGTAGCTAGCTTACTATGAAATCGGGAGTAGAGTGTATGTATGTATTGGTCGATAGCTGGTTGTTTGGAGCTGCTATTGGTTGATTGCAATTTTTATAAGTAAATTTCTGTGGCTTATGTCCATTTAACTTTGAGTTGGTAATTGTATGTATTTAGTTTTTGTCCGATATGCAATTTATATTTAGAAATAAGTATAGTGTTTTCAGCCGCTTGTTCAAAGTTTTCGTTTCATTTTGATCTGTGGGCCCCAGGTCATCCTTATGTTGAATATTAGCTCAAGATAACTTACTGTGATCGTCTGAGGAGTTTAGTTGTTGCCGATATAAACTGTTGGGCACATGTCTCGTCAAAGTGTAAATTTTATTTCTTGTGATTTGTCATGATTTAATCTAATTTTCCAAAATGAATACAATTACAATTTTTTTTTAAATTTTAGTAAGTGATTTTGTAAATTCGTTCAGTAGCAGTCAATGTTTAGGATATTATAAGTATGTCATACATATAGATAATGTTGAGTAACGGAACCGATTAAGGCACTCTTGCCGAAACTGGTCGAACTGAATAAATTTCTAAGCCTTGTATGACAAAGAAAAATCTGTCGAACATGGAAGATTGGAGAATTAGGTAGGATGTATGAGGTAGTAGAGTTTTGAGTTTAAAGAGAAGTCCCTGGTAGCAGACTTTATCAAATGCCTGAGCAACACGGCAGTCGCTGATTATGTTTGTTCAAGTGCTCCAGAAATTTAGTCAGTAACTGTGTTTAATTGGTGTGTAGTTGAATGAAATGTATGAAAACTGATTTGATGGTCAGGACTTATTTTTTGGTCCGTTAGAATGTCAACCAATATTTTGTATATTAATTGTTCGAAAACTTGGGAACATATTGGTCGGTAGAATCAAGGATTGAAAATGTCTTCTTGTTTTTTGTGTATCATTTTAATATGTGAATATTAATTTTAATATGTGAATATTTCGATTGTAATCGGAATTTAGTTTTCCTTAGCATACATTTACATATTGTCGTAAGGAACACTTTCCTACATAGGTAGTGCTTTCCTGAACATTTATTGGAGCGCCTCGGCACTTATTAAGTAACCTTATTAATTAAGTTAGGAAATAACCTAGAGCTTTTCTATTAGGCTATTGATTTATTGTGCAACTTGAGGAGGAGTGAAGAAAAGAGGAGGTGGTGTCAACGTTAGTGGTATATCTAGAGTATTCAGTGTTTTTTTTTTTTTTTTGGCTTCCCTCCCGTTCCTCGCAATTTAAGCTTTTCGGGGTTTTCCCGGGCTAAAATCTCTCCCTACCCCTGGTACCGGGTAACGAACTTAATACGTAATTATTTTACCTAATTATCTATGATCCTGGTTGCCGGACGACGAGCGGTGCTGTGCACACACATCCCGTTCAACCATCCCGCCCTTAGAGTATTCAGTACTAAGATTTCATGTTCTGTGTTCGTGAAGTCAGTAAAAGGTGTAAATACAGACGACAGATGATTAGCAAATAGCTCAAACTTTTCCTTATCCGACAAAGCCTATGAACCATCCTCTTTCCGCAGGGGTACTGATACAAATTAACAAATTTTTGTTATGCTTCCATTAACATCCATCGTAAGTCGATGGGCTGTTAAAGTAAGCATCATAGTTTTTTGCATTGAATTTTCGTATATGAATTTTTGTATCGTTTAAGTTCATTATTCAGTTTGTTAAATCTGAGAGAAGTCTGTTAGTCTGCCTTACCTCACGGGCTCTTCTCTTTGCCGTGATCAAGTCACTTATTTACTGCGGATATCTAGGCAAGTATTCTGGCATTGATGGAGTCAAGAAAAACTTAATAGTTTGAATCACTAGAGCAGAGCAGTCAGGTTCGAAAACTATTATTACGAACGGAACAAATTAAACAATATCAAAATTATTGAACTTCAATACAATGTAATGATGTAGAGAGGGTTGACCGTTGATATAATATGAGAAGGAGTTAGTCGAGGGTGCGGTCAAATAAATAAAAAATTGAAATATATTAATTTTTGCCGACGTTTCGACCTACTTTGCAGGTCGTCTGCAGGGCGTAGGATGTGGCACTGCGGGAGGCAGTTGAAACACTGCTATACAATGTAATTTAATTGCATTATATTCCATAAGTAGAATACGTACGGCCTCCGTAAGTTTTTTTGTGCTGATTCCATAAATGCCATAATCACAAAAAAAAAAAAAAAAAAAATAGAAAACATTAAAATTTTAACATATATAGACTTCCATTGTCATCTCCTAATATAAATGCGGTCTCTTAAAATTAAAAGATTCTCTATCTTCGCCATATGCTCCATGTGTGGAACATAAGACTAGTGATTCTTTGCGCCACTCGAGCTTAATTTTTTCTAGTCAAGCTGTAAAATTAGCACTCCATGAAGTGTCATTGCTGGCTTTGGTGTCTTTAAAAACCAATATCGTCAGTTTTTTTTTTTTTTTTTAATCTTTGAAATAGTGGGTAAATATCTCTGAAAGAAGTGATAACTGTTAGGACATCACTAATCACTTCCATTAATGAAAATGTATTCTCCATTTTAAATCCAGAGAGCGCAAAGCTAACAGCATTTGGTTTTATTTTATGCAGATTTTATAATGCAGATAATGACGACAAGTGAGTCTATTGGTACTTTTTGTCAATCCCAGAGGTAATAGTACCAATGATATTTTACATCGCCTTCATCTCTGTCTTAAATGATTTCGTTCTCTGTTCGACTCAAGTTCAAAAGGGATGAAAATGTTATGAAAGATTGTTCCAGGATTCTGTCCGAGCTCAGAAGCCGGTATCCAAGCGTCCTGAAACTATCACATTCTGGTAATATATTCGATAACAAGGCGTTGTGTACTGCATGCGTAATATATGGTAAAGTGTTTGGGTTACACGAGTTTGACCCAAGACATCTGATGAAATACCGATTTTTAGAATATCGGGGGAAAAAGGCTCATGAAAAAACCAACTAATTAGGAGATCTGAATACTGCTATATTTTACGATCAGCTTAACAGATTTGTTGGCGCAAGTGACGGTAAAGGTGGACCAAAACAAAATTAAAATAGTGATTTACTTCATCTTCTTTATATAGTTTATATTCTCAAAAGGTATATAAAAGGATTATATACCTTTTTCTAGACCATGAGCACAAATACTTAGCGAGCTGGACTTTTAAATTATTTCTGATCAACACAAGAAAACTACGATCGCCGAACATATCGAAACTTAAGATGAAAAGTTTTGAAAGTCCGCGCGGTTTTTTATAGAGATATTCGCTCAGTGATTTCAAGAGATTTAAATAGTAACTTTTAATATTTTTTTATAACTGTAAATTGAAACTTCTGGGAGTTTAATACAATTTACCTGAAAAAATAAAGATTTAATTGTGCAAAAAAACACTAGTCCAAAGTAGACCTGAGCAAAATGTATTATAAATATTATTTTAAAATTCAGTGTTTAATTTTAAAATACAGATGTTGCGTATTTTGTGTTTTAATTTGAAAGTATTTTAATTGTTTTCAGAAAAAGTATTTCCATTACAAAATAGTAAAATTATTTTGCATTTCAATTACAAATAAACAAAAGATAAATTAAAAATACTTTATGGTGGACGATCAGCATATAATACAGAGAATCCATTCAATTAGTTAATGCATATTTATTTAAAATACATTTTTGGTATTTTGATGTCGTGCAAATATTTTTTTTTTTTCATTGAGTAGTAAGTAACACAATCTGCCACATTGAAGAGAAACAAGTACCAAGGTTAAATGTGTCCATTCAGACCATACATACATAAAATGGGGAAATAAAAAAAAAAATGAGTAAAAAAATATATATAAAAAAAGAATAACATATTTAAGTGAAATAAGAAATAAATCAATAAGTAAAAATAATGTAAATAAACCTTTGTTGTTGAGGCTGACTTGATAATGATTTACAGTTGTTTTTTTTTTTGTTTCTTGAAAAGTGGTGATTTTCATATTTAATAGTTACCATTTGTATCGACATAGGTGGGGGAATATTTTTATCATTATACGCCGCATTTAGTTAATAATGGAGACCGCGTTTTTAAAAAAAAAATATTTCAATGTTTTTATTTTTGTTAGATAAAGCATAAGCATATATTTTTATTTTTATAATCTGCATTTTCAAAATTATTATTGACAAAGTTGAAAATTCGGAAATAAAGGTATAAATAAAAGTGTTCTCCGTCTATAGAATATAATGTGACCCAATAATTTTTATTCTATATTTATCACGCCTAAAGGTAATTTTGAGAAAAAATAAACAAAACAGATCTTTATTGGATGAAGATATGGTTTTATTTTGGTTTCCCCGAAATTGTTATTTTCTACGTAACGTTTACAAGTTCAATAATGTTGATACAATATGATTATTTTCCGTTTGTAATAATAACTTTGAAACTTGGGTTTATTTCGCCAGTGTTTTAGTTATTTGGAGATATTCTGTTATTAAACATTCCAGACTTTTGTGGGGGTGTTTACTATATTTTGCTTGCTCTATTTTTAGAGGCTTACATTATATAGCTGTAGTGTTTTTTGTTTACCCATTCACTTTTATAACGTTATATGTTATTTTCTAAATAATGTTCAATAATGTTGATACAATTATTATTTTTAATTATTATAGTATTTTTTAAAGAATAATTAGGAAATGTTTAAAGTAACATTAGAAAGTAAAAAAACATTTTTTTAATAATTCGATTCATTTCTGAAAATGAAATAATTGCACCAATGGATTGATTGAGTGTTTTTACATGAGAATCGATACTTTCCTTAAAACGATTTCCATAAACTTTGTAAATGAGCAGCACAACAAATTTATTAGCTTAAAAAAAAAAGTTTAATTGCTTGAATTTCATATTGAAAGCAGAATATAAATCTAAACGTATAGGTCTCAATGTATATTGATCACTCTAGATCATAATAGAGATAGGATAATTGATAAAATCAGATTTTAGCATTGTGTAAAATGAAGTTTTCACAGGTACCGGTTGAAAATCTAGTCAAATTATCTGAAGAAAAACTAAAATTAGAATCGCAAAACTTAAATGGAAACCAGAATGACTTCATAGAAGCCACTAAAATTAGTACTATCGCAACTGCTTATGCTGACGATAAAACCACTAAAATCGAAACAACCATTGCCGACCCGAGTGAAACAGGAGATAAAATAACTAACCAGGCGAAATCCATCGCTCACCCTGATGGGAAGGACGGGCCGGTGGCGAACTCGTTGCACCATCGTCCAGAACCTGGCAAAGAAGAAGGATCCCACTCATTGAGTCTCTTCTCCTCGCCACTCCCCAAAGAAGAAGCTCCTGCCAAGGGGATGTATTTCGGTCCTCATCCCATAAATTTGCAACTTGATGTCAATTAAAGTGCTCTAGCCTAAAGTCTCTGTACATTTATAGTATAGTGTAGGTTACTAACTAGCTATTATGTATAGTACCATTGGACTAGGTAAATAATTTCATTGTAGTTCACAAGATAAATATTTCACAACTTAATAGAAATTGGTTAAAATTGTATAAAATGGTCCTCCAGGTTGGGGGTTAAATAGAGGGATAATACTTCTTTACCATAAAAAACACCTTATTAAAAAACCCAAAATTTGCTTCTGGAAATCTGAGTTACTTAAAATGGTAACCACCCTAACTTTTTATATTGGAATATATATTGCATCTCGGAATGTTCGAAGCTTAGGACCAGCAGGCCAGGTCCGGCTCCGTTTGGGGCCCTCTAAAGTAGGCTCCCCTTATGACTTATATATATATAAGTGGTTTAAACGAACAACAGTACTAGGGAGCCCTCCGAGGGTGCCTCTCAATCTACGGTGATAAAGTACAAAATATTTATGATGGGATCCCATCGAAACGGCCTAAAAAATTTACAGGCCTAAAAAATCATTACAAGGCGATAAAAAAGTGGAAACCATTTATGATGGGTGCTGATCGGAGGGTCCCCCAACATTTATAGAAATAAACGAAAACAAAATTACAATTTTTGGAACAAACGTACCACGGTATTAATTACGGACGTGGGGTCACCGAATTCTATGAAAATATTTTTGGTGATTCTAGATCGAAATATATTAGACTCGTGTCCGAGGGTCCTTGCCAATATGCCCCAGGAGCCAAGATTTTTTATTTTTTTTTTAATATAATTTTATTATTAGAATAGAGTAATGATCACTCCCATGAGTATTATTAATCGTGTACCATTCTAATCTTGGAGCTATAATAGAAGTTGTTAGCGATAAATCAATGCTCGATAAATTGCCTGTTCAAGAACAGCATATGTAAGTATAGCTAGAATCATTTAAAATAGTTAAATTGTTTGCATCTATATAGTTTCTATCAGTTCATAGAATTTCTATCAGCCTTCCAGCAGTGTCTGATTTTTAGGACCCCAAAGAGGATTGTGACAGTTGAAATTACCAAGCCATAAGACTAGAGCTGAACTTTCTTCAAATAAACCATTGAATGCTCTAATTGGAAAGTTGTTTGTGGGTGGTAGATACAAACAATATACAGTTAAAGGATAAATAGGGTGTATCCGCACAGCAACTGCTTGTAGGCAGGATGTGACCGGGACGTGAAGACAAGCAACTTCATGGCTAAGAAATGTATCTATTCCACCACAAGCTTTTTGCCCTTCCATAGTCTTTTCGAAAAATTTGAATATTTCGAAATTTCGCTTGATGCTTAAGTTGTTACCTAAATGAGTTTCTTGAAGGCAGATGATATTAGATTCATTATCCCGTACTAATATCACTAAATCTCTTATATGATAAATAAATCCTCTAATGTTCCATTGGAGTGTTTTCATAATTATTTAAGAAACTATTCACAAAATTTGTTTAAAAATAAAGTAATCAAGAAATAACATTATGGGATATAGTATAGTAAAGAAAAAATAATTACCGAACATGTTAAAACAAAAAGAACATAACATTGTTTAGTTATGAACACAATTTTGATGTTATTTATTATATTGATCATATGTACTGTTAAAGAGATTGTTTGACGTTAATAGATAGAAATACATCGATATATTCTGAGACCATGATGCATTATTTGTATTAACAATTATCAATTGATGTTTGAGGTTAGAGTAGATAAGAGAAAACACGAGAAATGATGGATTGTTTTTTTTAATTTAATGTTTAAATGCCTTGAATAATTATATTTTGATTAGATAGTTTTTCCTATTTAACGTTGCTGTTGTAGTGGTGGGAAATATTTTTCGTGAGGTAAAATAGAAGTTTCGTTTGGGATTGGATTATCTTCTGAAGTATTTAGATTATGTTTGTTCCAGAGTGCATGCAGTATTTTGATTGCAGTTTGAGAGGATACGTGTATTTTAAGATCTGTATTTAGAGCTGAGTTGAATTGCCCATTGCCCCATTAAATTTATCAAATTAAATTGTAAAATTAATATAAATTGTTATAAAAGAAATTGGTAATTAAAAAATATAAAATTTTAATGAATGGTTGTCTTTTTCGAAGTTTTCAGCTGTCTGTAAAAAACAGTTGAGTGCAGAAACAGCATAAGTCCGAATCAAATTTCAAATTTTCCTGAGCCTAATTTATGTCAGCATTAGGTAACTTTGTATGACAGCAACATAAATGCATGTTATGACAGAGGAAAAAAAAGTTTAAATGTTTAAAATTTTGGAGGAGTTATGACGTTGTTTCTCACTTCTGAAAAAATTAAAATTTGTGACTGAAGTGGTTTCTGCACTCACCGATTCAATTGTTGTGAGTTTCTCCATCTATTGGTTCAATTGAGCTGTTGGGGGCGGAGTAGATACAATTTTAGAAAAACTACACAAAGGTACTACAGGAGTTTGATTTTCAACGATTTTTTTAACCACCGGATAGGTTACCTTATCTGTTACTCTTACTTTTTGTATCTCTTTTTATTTTAAAAATACAGGGCGGGATGTGAATTAGAACAGTTTATGCACTTCATTAGATTAATGTTTTCATTATCATGTTGAGGAAGACTACATTTACCATAGACTCTATGTTGACAGTTTGCCGACGTGTGGTTAAACGAAAAGCAATTGCAACATTGGAGAGGTTTAGGATAAGATAGGCTAAGGTCTTACCTTGATATTTATAAAATCTAAAAGGTTAGGATGAATAATGAGGTTGGTATTTTAAATTCGCCTGATCTCCTGTAAATTCTTCTGACTTCAACCTCTCCCTCATCACGCAGCTCTCATTTAAACTCTTCTTCCGGGCAGCTATTGAATTCCGGACCTACTTTTACACGTTTACTGTAATTTAAAAACGGGTGAAATTCAATGTTGAATATTCATACTGTTTAATATTTCTTAAATTCAAAAAATCCTTCTGATTCTTAATTTCCAATGACAACATCCCATTTCTCAATATGTTCACATTTGATTAAGGTGCAAAACTTTTAAAAAATCTGCAAATTTTGAATGGACTCAAGGTTGGGAATGTCTTACCCTCCTCAGCGAAGGAGACGTCAATGTATCTTTTAATCCATGGACACCCTGGATTGAAGAACTTTGAAAAGATGTCAGAAGATTTGGGTTCCTCATTTCCAATCGTTTCACCTTTCTAGTTTCTCCTTCTCTTTTCCAACTTGTTTTTTCCTTTCAAAGTTTATGCTCTATCAAAAGCAAAAGTGATTGGGGCTTTACACAAACACTTAAAAGATATAAGCTATTCCAAAAAAACTATATTGGAGAATGTAACTTTGTTAATTATGATAAAGGCATGGCAAGAAAAAAGTGAGTTTTCAAAAAGTAGAGAAACGATACCTCGAAAATATCTTTTGATTTTAGAGAAGTCTAAGAAAGATTCGTTTTTAACGTACTAAAGTTCACTTGGACATGGTTTGATTCACGAATGCTTGGTAAGTTCCAGGTAACCTACTGATGTGTAGATCACTTAATTTCTGTGCTTCTTGCTATTTGGAAGACTCATTGGTTTCATATATAGTTCATTTTTCGTCTGGTGTTAAATTGTACAATTAACGAAATCAATTCTCTGTCTCTCGCTGTCTGGAATTCGGCGGCATTGTAGTTTTTTTTTTTCAGTCAAGATCATTTTACAGTGTCCAGGAAGTTTCGATTGTTATTAAGGCCGTTTAATATTATATTCCCACTTACCACTCTCTTCTTTGTTTCGTATAGTTCCATGTTATAATTAAAATTTAATGTATTAATAAGGTTAATTTATACTTTATTCTATGTGCAATACGCTTTATACATTCTATATTTACATGACCACTTTTCATTGAACATTTCATTACGTTTTTTCGGTAACGAAACAATCTTTGTAACCTTCACTGTAACGTACAGTTTTTTACATCACCATTTGCTGGTTTTTAAATGACAGGTTTTTACAAAAGGCCTTAGAGAAGAAATGAATCACATAGATTTCACTTTGTGGGATCAGAGTATTCGTCAGCACAAGATTGACCAGAAAACTTCAAGATATCATTTCCCATAGAAATTATCCTTACAGACTTTTGCAGTGTAGCTGTCGATATGGTAGTCTAATATAAGTATAGCTCCTGAAAATGTATTCAATTGCGGCACAAGTTTTCAACCAGGCGGCACTAATCCAATCCAGCAGTTTGATTGAATGATCGGAGGGAAAGAGATACAGGTCGATCTGAGGAGCTGATACGAGGTGTGAAAGCTGCGACCATTAATCTCCAATGCTGACAGCTGGGACAGCCCTCGCCTGGAAAAAGACATTTCTCTAGCTAATGGTTCGTCAGCCCTCCCGCTACAAGCTTTTTTCCCCGCAGGGTCCTTTCTATGTTTTTATTCCATATTAGACCAAATCCAAACAAGGCTTTGTTCCTGTCTCACGAATCATACGCGGGCCATTCTACGTAAGTGAGACCATTTTTTTTTTAAATGATAGGCATGATTAATGGAACAATAATTCTGGATGCATTATAGTTTGTATTATAGACTTCTTTATTTTTGTTAGATATATACATAGGAAAAAAAAAACAAATTTATAATCCTGAGGATACTTAATCGTAGAATATCTTGGGTCGGACTATTTGCTTAATTAAGATTAGTTTCTAAGATATAAATTGAATGTTAAGATGTTGATTTTTATGTTCACTTCGCAAAGTAGTGCGGACATGGACGTATAAATTTATTAAATCATTTATTAAGATATGGAAGTATTCCTACAACGCGCGGTAGAACGAAATGATAAAATACCAATATTGGGAACAAAATACCAATTTTCAAGTATTTTATTTTCTCAAAAAGTATATATTCTTGATGCCTGACAGCCGGTGACATCGTATGTCCAAGGGATGACTATTTTAAAAATGTTTCTCATGATGAAATTTAATTCCGAAGTTATTGTTATTGGGA